CGTGGTACACTCATAATATTTGCAAAACATCATGCAGATGTGTCAAATCTCATGCGCACAATTCGTCATGGAAATCCAAATTAGTGACACGTGAAGAGACCAAGACTTGCTCTAAACAAATACCATGTAAGGTCATTTTTTACATTGAGATTGTGTTTGTTACGGAACTCCACATGTCAGTGATTTGAAAATTGCACGCTTTCATTTCGCGCTATACGCAAATCCGGCTCCTTGATTGCTTTCACTTTCATTTTGCCACGTTGCTTTGTGTGTTTCATTTTCCACGTCGTTGCAGTGATGAGCTCCATTTTCCTGCGTCATTGCAATGGTAAGTTTCGTTTCCCATCTTGGCGTACTTACCGTTCAGTATTTTCCTTTTTCCTTTGAGTGCTCGTGTAAAGTATTTCACTCTTTCTCAGTGAGTCGAGTATAATGCTTCAAAATAAAAACAGCCCTAGTTTCATGTTTTGTATCTCCATGAAACATGCTAACACAACCAACTGTTGCCAAATTCACGCCTCAATGATAATGAAAATAATTTTCATTTTCTGAGATTATGCTCGCAATTCATGTTCCCAGTTCAGACTCGCAGTTCATGTTCAAAGTCAGGACCTCAGTTCAGTCACTCAATTTCGGGGTCTTTGACGGTTGCCATTTGTTAAAAAGACTTATCTCCATATAATATCGAGGTCTTCGACGGTTGACATTTGTTAGAAAGATTTATTTCCATACAATATTGAGTTTTTCTCTTCCTAATATCAATAATGACAATCTTTCTCTTACGAAAGGAAGTGATGCATATTCAATGATTGCTGCTAATCGAACACTCGTGATTTTGCAAAGGCCTCCAAGATCTGGGATTAAGAATTCTGTGTCATTCGACTGTTTGGTAAGTATCTCGCACAATTAAAGGATTATCTTTCACTGAATTGTTACGTTAGTACCTGGAGCACTTTCTTTTGTTCGATTGATACGTCAGTTACTCGCGCACTTTTAGTATTATCGTTTAATTGATTGTTAGGTTATGTTTTGCACACTTTCAGAACACGCCCTCATTCAAAAGGTACGTTTAACTTAGAATCGTATGCTCCTCTAGGATTCTAAATTATTGGATTATTACGTTAGCATCTCGCGCGCTTTCTCTCTTTCATTGAATTGTTATTTCAGTACCTGGCGCACTTTCTTTCGTTCGATTAACACGTCAGTTACTCGCGCACGTTTAGGATATTCGTTTAACTAAGTGTTAAGTGAGCGTTTTGAACACTTTCAGGATCATCC